GGATTACACACACACACACACACACACACACACACACACACAAAGGAGCATAGACTGGATGAAGATTTTACTGGTTCCTTAAAATTTATTATGAATAGGTGTATTTATTTTTTAAAATAATCTGTATTCCTGGGGCGCTTTGGCAGCTCAGTAGGTTAAACATCTGACTCTTAATTTTGGCTCAGGTCATGAGCTCAGGGTCCTGAGATCCAGCCCCATGTCGGGCTCCAAGATAAACATAAAGCCTGCTTAAAGATTCTCTCTCCCTCTACTTTTGCCTTTCCCCATTCTCCTTTCCCCATGCTCTCTATCTAAAAATATATATGTGTATATAAAATATTATATTTAATATTATTATATATTATTATATATGCATATATAATAATATTATACATAATAATCTATATTGCCATTAATTTATGTAAAGAATTTGGTCCTCTGTTATAGATAATCCCCTAGCAAAATTAACACTAAATTACAATTAACTAGACTTAGGCCAGAAAATATAAAATCTATATAATTACTCTCAATTTGGGGTAAGGGAAGAGGAGAGGGATAAAGGCAGAGATGCAGAAAGAAAGCAAAACATAATTTGAATTTCTTTCCAAAAATATAATATTCAAAAATACATAAATTTCAGTAAATAAATAGGAGGATATATTAACTATTGTTGCAAATAAGTGGTAGTAAATGTTTTGGCACTATATTTTTCTTTCTCCATTTCCAACAACACAAAATTTTTAAAAGCACTATTTCTAGGGTATATCATAAGGTTACGTGCAGATTCAGCCCAGTCTCCTGCTTCTACACTACAATGTTAACTGATGTCCTAGAGTTATTACACTCAAGGTATTACAGTGGAGACTTGGCTCTGGAGGCAGATTGCCTGGGTTTAAATCCCAGCTCTGCCAGTTACTGGCTGTGTGATCTTGAGCAAATAAAGTAAATGTATTAACTCTCAATTTCTCTGTCAGTATAATGAGGGTTATAATAGTCCTGAATCTCAAAGGTGTTCCAATGAGGAATTATAACAAAGTGTTTAGCACAGGGCCTGGCCCATAAGTGAATTGTGGGTCATCAAATTGTTACAATAACCAAAGGATACCTTCACACAGAGAAAAAAAAAAAAAGAAGAAGAAGAAGAAGACCAAATAACATTATAAAAAGTGTACAGTTATTCAGACTGCACTGTATGAAAAATCAGTAATCCATACTATAAAATCATGCAGAACCTCCAGTCGCTATTACAGCAACAATTATTATAGCCCAGCATTTATGTAGTACTTTACTATGGACCAAGCACTGTGCTAATATGCAATTCCTCACTTGAACACATATGAAGCAAGGAATTATTATTACTCCCATTTTACAGATGAGAGTCAAGATGTATACATGATTTGCTCAAGATTACAAAGCAAGTAACTGGCAGAGTTGAGATGTGAACCTAGACAATCTGCCTCCAAAGCCTGCTTCTGACAGAAACTACCCACCCAAACTTGGGCAAGGACTTTCATATATTGGGATTTCAGTTTCCTTCTTTAGAAATGAATAGAGTGGGGACGCCTGGGTGGCTCAGTTGGTTAAGCATCGCCTTCGGCTCAGGTCATGATCCAAGAGTCCTGGGATTGAGTGCCACATCAGGCTCCCTGCTCAGCGGGAAGTCTGCTTCCCCTTCTGCCTGCTGCTTCCCCTGCTTGTGCGTTCTCTCTCTCTCTCTGACAAATAAATAAATAAAATCTTGAAAGAAAAAAAGAAAATGGTGGAACAGGTATTCTTAAAAGTCTTCTAAACTCCTCTAGACAAAAATGCTATTTAAACCCAAATTCACTACATATAGGAAATATGTTCTGGTCCTTTTACATACCTAGGCTTCCCTGTCTTATATAATACAGAATATTTATAATTCCCCCAATGCAGTGTCTCACTGTTCCTGAGCCCGTTAATGGAAGGTCCATCACCTCCCCACTGAAAGTGCTCTTTCTCCATCTTTGTAGACTGGGAAAAAGAATCATTTGATAAATGACATGACCCAATCTCCAGTGACAAAGCTTGTGCTTCTGTCAGCCAGAGAACCTCACTAGATAGTTCTATAACGAAGTCCCTTTGATTGGAGCCCAAAGAGAACCTGACTTAAAATGAATCCTATCTGACACCACTAGTGCTATAGGGAAGTTAAGGACACACATCAACAAACTAGCCGAACCCCTAAGACTGGAGTTATGTCACTCTACTTTAGGATCTCGGTTTCCTTGTTTACAGATAAGAAGCGGTGTTTAGATACAAGTAAACCTGAAGGAAGCAGCCACCCCAACTCAGGGAAGCCAATCAACTTTGTTAGAATTGAGAGAAAGGGGTAAGGATATGTACAGTTTGGAAAACCACATTCAAATACGGTTATCGCTTTTACAATATAAACCACAGAAGTAAAAGCTCCAAAATGATCTATCATGTTGGGTGGCAAAAGAGAGTGAAACAACACTGAGTGGATACGTATTTTACAAATACATATTAAGATACATTAGAGTAGATCACTGTTGCAAGCCCTGTTTAGCTCAGAGTCTGAAAATAGTCTATAGGACGACTTAGATATTTCTTCCCTTTCATAGAAAAATGATTTAAATAAATGCACAAACATGTAAAATTCTAAACACAAGACTCGAGGTATTTTATTTTTGTTTCTTAACAAATGTGATATATTTAACACAAAGTCTTAAAATATTCTAAACCCAAACTAAAACACAACCAGGTTACTTCTAATCTGGTTCTAATACTGCTTCAAAACGCTGAAGCTCCATTTTTAAGTGAGACAAAGAAGTGAGACATAAAGTCCATGTAATTTTTCCTGAGGCCAAATATATAAAGCTCAATTTTTAATAAAATCTATCCTTGCACAAGTCTTTTGGCCATCTTTGCCTACTTAATAGCACCACCAGGGGATGAAAAGACAAGAAACCAAACTCAACCCCTTCTGTCTGGCTCTCATTAGCATTGGTTTGCTGAGAAACAGCAATGGTTTGCTGAGAAACAATGGGCAATCCACATACTACTTGTCAATATCAGTTTGGGGGAAGTTTTATGGATTCAATCTCTCCCCAGCCCTCACTTCCAGAGACAATCGAAAGCTAGCTGTATTCAGATTTAGTGCCTAGAAAAAGATAACTGATGTCTACACCATCAGCTCTCACCCTAAAACTCCCACTCAGATTTTAGGTTATCTTCTAAGACTGGACTTGGATAGGGAGCACCAGAATAATAAGAGGAACCATTGGAAAAAGAAGGCCTCTCCTACCAAATGCAGCCTCACTATTCTATCCCCTCACCACAAAAATAAGCACATGGAGAAATTTCAGAAAGCAGATTCCTCTTTTTCCCTACCAAACTAATCCCATCTTGCAGTGCCTCTTCATTTTATCGAGACAAGGTTTAAAATGGAAAGAAATACACGTTAATATTAAAATCTCCCATTCCTAAAGGACCCCTGTGAAAATTTGTTAAGATCCTCTCTCATGAAAAACTCTCATACACACAATTTACAAGTTTCATGGAACCCCCCAACCCCAAACTGTCAAGGTTAAAAATCCTTGCTGTAGCCTAGAGAATCATGTGCTTCTCTATAACCCTATCACCTTCTTCATGGGTGGGAGCCATCCCAAACATCACATCTGAAATGTAAAGAACAACAAAATGAAGTTTCCAAATTGCACCTGATACTTTAAACTAACTCTGTCAAATTTCGGTTCTGCCGTTTTTCAGCAATGCTCAAAAGATTTATTTAATTTCCTTGACCACCCCAACTGGGTCTTATCCAAAGCCCTCCTCTCTCCTTCCTTTCTTCTCTTTTAACTGATCCTAGAAGCTTATAGCCAAATCAAATTGTAAGTGAAAGAAAAATGTTTGCCTGAGAACAAAAGCCCCCAGTGAACACTCACCCTCACCACCCCTTTCCAACTCAAGATATTCAGGACACTGCCAACCGATGTGGCCCTGGGCTGGATCAGAAAACAAGAACAGAATAAGGACACTCCATTCAACCTTTTTGTCTGGGGCACTTCCTGGGTTTTTCACTGGTATTTAACACCAAGACACAAGGCTCATTTTTCATTAAAGTTGCAAGACTTTCACTTTGCCCAGTTTCAAATGGTGTAATTGATCTGCATTGTCTTCTTAAATAACCCATCTGAAGGACACTGCAGCTTTAAATATTTCAGTGCTAGCTAGCAAATAGACTCCATTGCAATATGGCTCTGAAGGTCGCGTCCTATTGTCTCTTTGCTCTAGATAAAAAACAATGTCTTAATCCTTCTTTTAGGTAACATAGGAAGGGTTACCCCTAGAATTTCCACTCTTCCAACTTGTTCCCTGAAGGAGCTTGGGAGTTTATTGGAATCTCACACTCATAATTTTCCCGGCAGGGGCAATATGCTGATTGCTATTAATGATGCCAGCACCTTAGCGAGACATAAACACATGTGTTCACATTAGTTTAATTGAGCATATGCAACTGTCTGAAATAGCAGCACTCAAGGGCTGTTAACCTCTTTAAAAGTAGGCCCAGGGTAGTTTGGGAGTGGATGGCTTTCAGCAGGCACTCTGAACCCAGGATTGCATAACCTGAAATGTGTAGCTACTTAAAATGACAGGAATCTCAGCCTACTCATCCGGGGACCAACCCAGCACCTTGCCATACATTTGCACCTTTACTTGTCAAAGGTCAAAACAAGAGGCACACACACGGTGAAAGAAAAATATACCAAAAGAAAAAGGCCCTTTTCTGTCTTATCAGGGTGCTTAAATACGATTCTTCAAACAGTCACAATGTTCCCCCAACCTTGTCCTGGGTACTGGCGCAGCCCCGGTAAATGGAGGCTTTTGAAGAGGACAGGGGGACTGGACATCGCTGCCTTTCTTAACAAAAATCAGTGGACGATTAAATGGCAGGGAAGAAGGGGCAAAGGGAGCGGGGTAGAAGGAAGGTGTGTGCAGGTGCACTGGAGCATTACCTGAAATGGCAACAGATTGTTACCATTATCCGTCCGGAAAGCGTTATCCTCCATCCAGGACTTGGAGGTGAGTGGGGCCGCACGGGGGAACTTGGGCGGCGCGATCACATTGCTGGAGAAGGGCTTTTTGAGCGGCGAGATGGGGTTGAGTGGTGAGGGCACCCCGACACCTACGCCCACGCCCACGCCGACAGCTCGGCGAGGGTCCCGGCCCGCCGGCAGGCCGCCCCACGGGTTGGACGGCGCGCTCCAGGCGGCGTTCACACTCTGGTGCGTGTTCCAGCTGGACGAGGCGGACGAAGCGGCAGCTGCGGCCGCGGCGGCTACTGCAGCCGAGGACGAAGACGGCTTGCTGGTCATGATGGGCTGGTGGCCGTACGCCGCGGCGGCACTCCTCTGCGCGTAGGGCGCCTGGCTGGGACTGGCGGGCGAGCGGCGCTGCTGCGGGGGCTGCGCCTGCGGGGGCTGCGCGGGCTGCGCGGGCTGCGGCGCTGGCGGCGGCGGCTGCTGGTGGTGCTGGGTCTGCGCCAGGCCGATCTGCGGAGAGAAGGTGCCTCCGAAGACTGGGTTGACGTGGTGCGGGAAGTTCTGGAAGAGCATGGTCCCGTTGACTGGGGTGATCCCCTGGAAGAAGCTGTCCTCCACCGCGTTCGTGGTGCCTGTGGACCAGGTGCTGCCGAAGGACGGCGACAGCGACGCGCCCGGGGCCGCGGGCTCCTGCGGCGGCGGCGGCTGCTGAGGGGGCTGGTGGAAACTCAAGCCCGGCAGGAGCGGCGATTCCATCTGCATCTTGTCGGGGCCGTTGGGGGCCGGCGGGGCCGCGACGGGGCTGAGGGCCGGCACTGCGCTGCTGTCCTCCGGCTTGGGGGTCTCTGAAGAGAGGGGCGTGGACGGGGCTTCGGCTGCGCTGGGTTCGGGCTGGGGCTGCTGTTGCTGCTGCTGCCGCTGCTGCTGGGGCTGGGGCTGGGTTTTGCTTTTGTCCATCAGTAAATCATCCTGCATGGTTTGCGCAGCTGAAACGGGAAAAAAAGAGAGACGCGTTATTGTCAATGTGATCGTTAATGCCCCCCGCTAAAGCGGGCGGGTGTTTTACTTGAGAAAATCCAGTGCCAGCGCTACTAGCCAATTGCAATGCAAATCCATAATCTCCCATTTAGAAGAGCAGGTCGGGCTGGGGATTGGGGGGGGCGCGTGCAAGGTCTCTAAAAATACTGTGAGAGCGTCTTCACCCTTTCTGATGTCTTGGTTCCTTTTCTGTTTTAAGGAGAGATGTGCTTATAAGACAGAAAGACAGCAATTTCGCCACGTCTCTTTTCCCTTCACCGGAACTCAGAGCGTTCACCCTGCAATGAGAAACTGATTCTGGTTCCTGTTTTTTCCCAAGCACCACCCTCCCCCAGTTATTTGCATACGTCAATAAATACTGCTGCGTCCTTCAGCAAGGTTAAAAAGACACCGCACACGACCCTTTCTTCCCCCTTCCCTGCTCGGCACTTTAAAGAAACAGCAGTCTTATCCCTCTTGATTAGCAAACTGCCTTCTTGCGTTGATAATTGTTTCATTTAGCAGCGGCGAACCACGAGGGAGGAAATCCTTGGCATTTGTTAGGAGGAGGACTCAGCTGCACAATCATTCTCTGGCCTCCCAGAAGCTGCAGCTACTCCATTTTGTTAGGAGACATTAAAAAAAAAAAAAAAACAACCCACACCGTTTTTAAAGAGGTAAAAATCTACTGAAACGTTTGTAACCGCTTGCTTCTTGTTACACTCTTAAGGATTAGGGCTTTTCTGCTTATTCTCCAGTCTTCTTGTTTCCAATTCTGCCATACAAGAAATGTCTTGGCTTCTCAGCGGTTCAGGTCTCAACGGGAGCCTGAGAATTTCTCTGCAGCGTGGAGAAATGTTCTGGTTGGATTTGAGGTCAGAGAGAGCCAAAGACAGAGAAAGGCTGACTGTGAGATGGGGTGGGGGCGGAGTTAAAAAAAAAAAATCCCCCTGAGATTTAAGTAGAAAGTCAAGATACTTTTGGGGTTGCCAGATTTTCATTTTTGAATCCTCCTGATGCTGCCTTGGTCATAAGACTTTGGCAAATTTAGAATCCATTCTCTTATCACTGGTATTAGCAATGAAAGATTATGGTTGGAAGACCCTGAATTACCATATGCTAGCAAAAGTGTTAAAAATAGCATAGTACAAAGTCCCAAATTCTCATACATTGTAATTATAGTGCATTGCCATCACTGCTTCATTTAGCCATATAAGGAGCGTATGGTATTTTCCATCTCTCATAGAAGGGCTATATTCACCTCTGCCATACAGCCTGTTTTCTCATTCAAGGATGAAAATAGTAATCACTCAAAATCGGGAGATTTCCATACACATAGTTATCACTGAGTTAGCTTGTCCTTTAGAACATGTTAATTGTTTTAAATATGAATATTACAGTGCTGAGACCCTAAAAACAAATATTTTGAGATGTTAAAGGAGCATATGACCAAACATATAATTATTTTTAGATGATGATTCAGTATAATTGCAACAAAGTTATTAATATATTTAATGCAGTTACTTAATTAACAGATACTTGGAGAAGCATCTTTCCCAGAACACTTGCAAAAGGACATTCAGAATCACACAGAAGCTCTGCCTTTGGACATCCTCATGATAACTGTTATAAAATAAATGTATTGGAAAATGGAGATGCCACCACTCTTAACTACTAAGCAAAATATGTCAGGTCAAGAAATGGGATTAAATAGTATTATTTTATTAAAGACAATCTTTAAAATGGTTACTCTTTAATTTTAAAGTTTCATACACAAAATAGTGGGCTCAAGCAAATGCTTCATAGCCACCTCGCTCTCTTCTCTTCCCACCCCTTTTACCCGCCCCAAAACCCAGCCCAATATACCTCACAAATTGCCAGCTATTACCAATAAAACCTACATAAGATTGATTTTAGGTTCCTCAGTTCCCTTGGTCTAAAACAATGGCTTTGATCGGTATTGAAAATATGACACAAAGAGGCAAGCAAAGCTTCAATTCACAACAGCACAAAGTTCTATCGCTGCCAAAGGAAATGGTCATAAAAAGAGACATTTTCATACTCGGTTTAAGCAGTGCTGCAGTAAACCATTATAATCTGGGATCTGAGTTGCTTCCAGTGTGCTAGAATTATCTTTACAATAGCCATATCATCATGGCTGAAATATGTATCTGATTATAATTTTAATATCACCCAGCTTTCCCAATGCTTGTATCAATGCTTTTTGTTAATGCTTTCAGTTTAAACTACATGCTCTTGATAGAAAAATTAATGCTATACTATGGCAAAAAAGCTAAAAAGTAAGCTGGACTCAATCTTTTATGAAGGCTATAATTAGTATATTTACTGAATTAAAAAAATTTTGTCATACCAGGAACACCCATTTCTCTTCTCAACACTGCTTAAAGATATAAATTTCACTTTCTGCATAAATTCACTCTGTCAAGGTCAAGCCCATCTTTTAATAAATAAGATCCTTTTAAACAAAAGGAAAGCAAAAGATTAAGATAACATTCACAATGTTAAAATGCAATGGTCTCTCGGTAACTGCTTGTATAGTTTGTTTGGGTGTGTTTCTTCTTTTTTTTTTTTTCCTTTTTCTTTTTTCTTATTTACAGCAAAGTCCGAGAAATAGATACCTCCTTCCCCTCCCCCCCACCACACACACAATAGATCTTCCTTTACATGCAATCACCCAATCTCAAGTAACAAATTCTTAGCAGCAGTTACCTTTGAGTGTCCAGTTTTTAAGGATCGATAAAATTAAAAACTGTACAGTATTTTATTTTCTTCTTTCAGGTTGATTATGTGACCGCTCTGGCAAAAGCACTTTGACAACTGTAAGAAGAGAGGGCATGCGCACACAGGGAACTGTGGGGGCTGAAGTCCTTCACTAGGTACTCTGCCTGACTTAAGCACGTTCAGCCAAGGAAAGAAGGAAGCCTCGCAAATACTGATTCCAAGGGGAAGAGGTTGTGCCCGGATTACATTATATTTTCCTACCAATCTGAATCACGGATTTTTTAAATGAAAAGGGAGAAAAATAAACGGGTTTATCGGCTTGATTTAGGAATCCAGGTTAAAAGAGAAACTGGATTGAAGGACTCAAAATAAATAAACCCAGCAGAGCTACCTTAAATGGTATTAGAATGGTAATGACTGGGTAGCCAGCAATAGGAACCCTACGGAGCAAAAAGAGATTGGGGTGGGGAGGGATTAGAAAAGGAGGGAGAACTACAAGGAAAAGATAAATACTTAAAATCTGACAATCCCTAAAAGAAACATTTTTAGTATTACAGAATGAAAAATGCCTTAATATTAAATGTGATATTAGCTGTGGAGATCAGGTAAAAACAGGCTTCAGTCACAAATTTCTGACATCTTATCCACCAAGATTTCTTTGTATTTGAGTTTTCAATGAAGGCACAAATCACTTAAGATTCTACTTGCTTTGCTCTGAATCAACTCACCTCCTTATTTTACTTGTCAAAATGAAAGTTTACTTTGCATTATTCATACAATGATCAATCAAATAAAATTCAACTCTTTTAAGCTAAAATAATATTTGGTGAAATATTAAAAAATAATTTGACATTTAGTTTTCATTGCATAGGACAGTGACTTCTTTATTCAACACAAAAAGTAAATACAGTTTCTATTTAAAAAAAAATTTTTTTTTATATTGTATATTTTGTATATTGTATATTTTTCCTATCTTAACCATATGACTCCAAAGCTGGAATCTTGCAACATATTAGCATCAACTCTTCCTATCCATAGCTTCTGAGAGCAATAGTTCAACTACCAGTTTGCTCAGGTAGGTAGAAGATACTGTTTCTTGTGGGATTTGGTTCAATGCCATTCACCCAAGGGGTTCAGAGTAAATGTCAGTTGATGACTATGCTGACTGAACTTGGAAGAAAAATGTTAAGCATCATTTAAAACTGTCTTAATTCTCTAGTTCCTTTTTTCGCCAATTAGAATTAAAGTATTACCAGAGACTACCAATTTACATTGTTAGTGGTCTTTGTTTCTAGTTATTTCTAAGGAAAAAAAAAAAAACAATTTACGAGGAAAAAAAAATTGTGAATCAGCCTGTGAAACATTCTTTTTAAAAGAACTAAAATCACCCTCTTATTCCTACTGTGAACTTATTTTATATTTCCCATTTTTTTCTCTTCCTCTGCTCTCCTAAAGAAAGCTTCATTTCTGCCAATGTGCTGTACTTATCATTTGCATTCCAGAGTCTGTCAGGATCACTCAAGGTTAATCTTGTTCCTGAAGACTTCCCTAACCTACCAAACTTCTACATTTTCAAATATATCAATTAGGTTTAAAAAAAAAAGGGGGGGGGGCGCCTGGGTGGCTCAGTGGGTTAAAGCCTCTGCCTTCGGCTCGGGTCATGATCCCAGGGTCCTGGGATCGAGCCCCGCATC